TAATAAACGTTCATCGACGATATTATTGACAATGGGAAAGAGGGTACTGCTTCCAAGGGAAAGTTGAAGTTTGAACTTGCATTTAAGGTAGAAAAGCAACCGAAATTTTTTCCGACTTATGGATCTTCCTAAAATGTTAGGATTTGCTTGGAACCTTTATAAGGAAAAATTGGCCAACATTTCTCCAACAATCTCCCTTTTAACTAGTTAATATCTTTAAATGACGAGGTACAGATTAAATAATATTCACTACCTTAATGCTCGAAGGGACAGAGGGACAGACATATGCAATGCCAAGCAGAATAAGACACATACAGACAGGCTGGTGAAAGACCACTGGATAGATGAGGGGATCGTAGAACAAATAAAACAATTAGGTATGACCCTTGTAAACAGGTTTAGAGATAAAGTCAGAATCAATAAACTGTCCCCACTGGAAAGTATGCAATGAGGCTTTTTCATCTAAAGTTGTTGAAGTGCCATTGTTAGAGTAAACTTCGTTACTGATTATTTATTATTTTGGGAGAGTTCCTTTTCCGCTTGCAGGTCTCGATTCTCCATCTGTTGATTGAAAATTACTAATTTGATTCTTTGAAGATTAAATCATAGAATTTACTGGCAGAAATACTTCACAAGTTGACAATAAAAGTATTGATGAAGTTTTATTTGGTTCAACATTTCAAACATCTAATTTGTAAAAAGGTTTTGTCTTTACCTTTGTTAAAAATCCGGAAAACGAGGAACGTGATTCAATTTTATCATCATCATCATCATCATCATCATCATCATCATCATCATCATCATCATCAAAGTCAATTTTAGTATATAAATAATAATTGTCATCGTATCGAGAATTCAGATAGCGAATCTGATTATTGAAGGAACAGTCCGTTGTCCGGTACAGAATTTCCTTTTGTCCGGTGCAAATGTAGAAATTCCTCAGGCGCAAACCCGTTGGATTCGTTATAAGGCACAGAATGTCTAATGATACACTATGCAGTTTAACAGAGTCTCTGTATAGTTGAATCAAAAATAAAAGGTTTATAATTTCGAAACAATTAAACAACACGATAGTATTACAATGCGTACGTACGAATGTACTACGTATGTGTAAAAGAATGCATGCATGCATAAATGTATATACTGACAGATGTAGCCGTACTGAACATGCATTTATAAATATATACAACCCAGATTAGGGTTGACTAACCCTAAACCCTAACCCAGATACGTACGTATATACCTGAGTAGCACATTTACACACATACACACAGAGACGTACATACACTTTGAACAAACAAAATAAACTATACAGATATGCATACATTCGTGCATACGTACGTACGTACGTACATACATACATACATACATACATACATACATACATACATACATACATACATACATACATACATACATACATACATACATACATACATACATACATACATACATACATACACACACATGCGCACACACATATATGCACATAATTATATATATGCATAAATTTTATATTTTCTAAGATTTACGAATATTTATTATTTTATATAAAATAGAAATCATACATCGTTGCATACGTTAGGCAAAGTGTCATTTTGCTAGAAGTTTGCACGCATGTAAAATAAACGAACTGATTCAGCTTTAGTCACATGAAAATATTTCTTGGATGTTATGGGCATGATTTTATCATCCACACACTTTTACAACATTATTCCTGAATGCTATTGATATCTTTTGAACATGGACTAAATATATGCCTTTTGTTCGATAATTGAAAAACAGCTTCACGACAGAGTTAGTTAATGCTATCCATGTAATCAGATAATTCATATATTATACCTTTACCTCTCTAGCCTACCTTATACTTGTATAGCCTCTCTCTCTCTCTCTCTCTCTCTCTCTCTCTCTCTCTCTCTCTCTCTCTCTCTCTCTCTCTCTCTCTCTCTCTCTCTCTCTCTCTCTCTCTCTCTCTCTCTCTCTCTCGTGTGTGTGTGTTCAAGATTAAAGAGGAAATTTGTTTGGTTTACACCAAATGCGATTTCACATTAAGCGAGATCTTGTGAAGATGATACGGCTAATTTTCTCTGTCTTATTCTGTCTCTCTGTGTCTTGTTCGGTCTGTCTATATATATATATATATATATATATATATATATATATATATATATATATATATATATATATATATATAGATAGATAGATAGATAGATAGATAGATAGATAGATAGATAGATAGATAGATAGATAGATAGATAGATAGATAGATAGATAGATAGATAGATAGATAGATAGATAGATAGACAGATAAATAGGGATGGATGGATGGATGGATGGATGGGTGGATGGATGGATGGATGGGTGGGTGGGTGGATGGATGGATGGATGGATGGATGGATAGATGGATGGATAGATAGATAGATAAATAGATAGATTAGATAGATAGATAGATAGATAGATAGATAGATAGATAGATAGATAGATAGATAGATAGATAGATAGATAGATAGATAGATAGGGATGGATGGATGGATGGATGGATGGGTGGATGGATGGATGGATGGATGGATAGATAGATAGATAGATAGGGGAAAGAGGGGACAGTGAGGGGTTAGTTTTGGTGTGTGCTGTTAAATTTCCATACATTGTGTCTTGAAACGAAAGTTGTAACTTCAGTATCCTTCTAGAGTTACATAGAAACAAACTACGTGCATAAGCAGATATTTACATACATGCATAGAGACATATGTTTGCACTGCCCATGGTACATGTATATTGATTGCTTCAAGTATCATTTTGCACGATGGGTCAGTATCCCTCTGCTGCAAGCGTTTAGCCACGTGAGACATATATTAATATAAAACGATGTCATTATTACGTAGAAATATATTTGTGTAACATTTCGAATGGTTGGAAGACGTTATCCCATCAAGCTTCTCACAAGTTTCTTTACGACAGCGTAAATTGTTTTTTTACGTCAAGTGTTCTTGTATTTTACCTTGAAATATACTGTCTGGATAAGACGGTATAAATTCTCCAGATAATTTCTAACAAAAATCGTAAGCATCTAGCTTGATCGTTTTGTTACAGCAATCATGTTCTTAACTTAGTCCCATAATTGCATTGCTTTGGTAAGTATAAGGTACTTTTCTGACAAAGTCAAGAATACTTTTCTGACAAAGTCAATAATATTTGTCTGACAAAGTCAAAGATACGTGTCTGACAAAGTCAAGAATACTTGTCTGACAAAGTCAAGAATACTTTTCTGACAAAGTCAAGACTATTTGTCTGACAAAGTCAAAGATACGTGTCTGACAAAGTCAAGAATATTTGTCTGACAAAGTCAAGAATACCTTTCTGACAAAGTCAAGAATACCTTTCTGACAAAGTCAAGAATACTTTTCTGACAAAGTCAAGACTATTTGTCTGACAAAGTCAAAGATACGTGTCTGACAAAGTCAAGAATACTTGTCTGACAAAGTCAAGAATACCTTTCTGACAAAGTCAAGAATATTTGTCTGACAAAGTCAAAGATACGTTTCTGACAAAGTCATGAATACTTTTCTGACAAAGTCAAGAATATTTGTCTGATAAAATTAAGAATATTTGTCTGACAAAGTCAAGAATACTTGTCTGACAAAGTCAAGAATACTTTTCTGACAAAGTCAAGACTATTTGTCTGACAAAGTCAAAGATACGTGTCTGACAAAGTCAAGAATACTTTTCTGACAAAGTTAAGAATACCTTTCTGACAAAGTCAAGAATATTTGTCTGACAAAGTCAAAGATACGTGTCTGACAAAGTCAATAATACTTGTCTGACAAAGTCAAGAATATTTGTCTGATAAAGTCAAGAATATTTGTCTGACAAAGTCAAAGATACGTGTCTGACAAAGTCAAGAATACTTGTCTGACAAAGTCAAGAATATTTGTCTGATAAAGTTAAGAATATTTGTCTGACAAAGTCAAGAATACTTGTCTGACAAAGTCAAGAATACTTGTCTGACAAAGTCAAGAATATTTGTCTGATAAAGTTAAGAGTACTTGTCTGACAAAAACAAGAATAAGTGTCTGACAAAGTCAATAATACGTGTCTGACAAAGTCAAGAATATTTCTCTGACAAAGTAAAGAATACTTGTCTGACAAAGTCAAGAATACTTGTCTGATAAAGTCAAGAATACGTGTCTGACAAAGTCAAGAATGATCTCTTTTAACTTCGCATTTAGTATTTATAATTAGGGTATATACAGAACAATGCAGAATGGTAAAGACAAATATTTCATTCCATTTAAAACTATCTCCCAGTGGAGAATGTGTCATCACCATGGATGTCAACATCTATATGTTTACAGTATCAACAATACCATTATTTATTTTACTACACGTAACACACGTAAATCCTCAACACTCTTACTTCATACAAATGTTTAAAGTCCAACATCCATCCATTCATCAATGTATGCATACGGACCAACATAATTTCTCTTCTTACATTGTTCAACGTAGATGTATGTGCTAAAACAAGCGTATTTTTTTTCTAGACGAACTTGATCCTTTAAACATTCGCCCTTATACTCGTTTTGCACTATCTTTGAAAGTAAATATGCGCCGATGAATACCAGACACGAATGTAACGCCCACATACAAAATTCGAAGTCACATAAGTAATACTATTATTAATATACCTTGTATATCTCTTCTTTAAGTGAATCATGTGTGTGTGAGAGAGAGAGAGAGTGTGTGTGTGTGTGTGTGTGTGTGTGTGTGTGTGAACTGGATTTTTAACGTAGCTGTAACATTTTTTAGTCATATCGATACGATGTCTGCAGTGTGGTAGTTTATAGTTATGTCTAGCACTGGAGCATCATGTCTCAGACAAGTAGCATTATTTCCCAGCTAATCACATTATTTTGACACCAGGCTGACCAGTCCTAACACTAACCTCCTAATGCTGAGCGCCAAGCGAGCCAGCTGTTATTAATATTTTTATGTCTTTTGTATGACTCGGCCGGGGATAGAACCCAGGTCTTCCTGCATCCGAGGCTGACGATCTAACCACAAGGCCACCGGAGTGGTTTTAATGAATACTGACTATATTCTATTATTCAAAGAAACTAGCAGCAAAATGCCATGAAAAACGCAATCCAAGCAGCTTAATCTAAAGAGAAGGCATGAAGACGTGAAGTTATTGTTTCTTATTTTGTCCCTTTTCTCAATTTTAGGATTATTCATTACCGTTATGGTTCTTATTGCATTACATAATATAAATTAAGTTGTTCGCATGTCACCCTTTGCCTGTCTTTTTGTATAGTAGATTTTCCTTCGATAAGAATGATGTCGATCTTTGTTGAAATGTATGGTAAGTTTGCTATTTTCCCGCACCTTTGTCTAACATTTCTCATATACGAACAAGATTTTACTAAATGACCAAGCGATAACATTTAGAGTGCACGCAAAATATTTACGCCATTTGGGTCGATCAGATGACGTGAAATCCGTGAAATAATTAATCTTTAAAAAGGGTTGTTGATCGAAAGCTAGCGAGTAAAATGGGATTCATAACATTTCCAATGACTTTTCCTGCACAAGAGTCAATAATTTTGGATAGGTTGTAGTTATGAGTCAAAAGGGTTTGGCAACAAAAGGGATATATTCCGTATAGTCTATATTGACATTTTGTGTATGGATACGATCGGTAGTACGAGTTTACATAAAGAATAGAAAGAAGGAAATAGTTGTTGTTGTAGGGTCTAGCGCCATTTTTCAGACAGGCTATACATTGAATATATGGTTATATTGCCGTTGAAACTGCAACATTCGTCTAGAGCACTGGTTCCCAAAGTTGGCGGTACCACCCCCTTGGGGTATGTGGGATTACCGAGTGAGGATGCGGGCACTAATGCTGAATAATTTTTTGTATAGGGTAAGGTAGGAGGCGCTGAGTGTAACCAAGGGGGCAGGGGCCCGGAAAAGTTTAGGAACCACTTTTCTAGAGCAAATAAGCGTAGATTTATGTTACGTTTGAGCGCAGAAGTATCTTACCTGCATATCCAGAGCATTATTTTTTTCAAGAGTCTTTGAAGTGATCCTAATGATTACATAAGATATTAAAAGTGTCAGATATAGTATGGTGTTTATTTTCATAAAGTAATAATAGATGAGCGCTTTCTATGAAGCCTCATACTGCATATCTCACCTTAGTATCTCAAAGGTAAGTATAATATACCCTTGACGAATTCAAAGTAATATTTTATATTCATTGTACACATTATAAGATTATTTTCATACATATTTAACCTATTCACTAGTGTGTGGTTAAAATTTACATATCAAATGAGACTGTTATACTGAGACGAATTGCTCAAAACAAGCACTGAAATATAAAGTTCATAATGTGCGTATACTTCGGCAACTCAAAAACATAATGCAAACAGTGCCGTTTTGTACTGAAATCACCTTTAACGTTATATCCCCCAGTTAGATTGGTAGATAATTAGACAAGAAAAACAAATTTGTCAACAAATATGATTCATGGCAGTGTAAGGGCATCACTTTGTATTAATATCAACCATGATTTAATCAAGATAGAGCTGATGTCGACGTTTCTTGCTTTACCTTCCTTTACATGCTAAGTTGGCCGGTTTGTAAATCTCAGACTTTGCTAAGTTAAACATAAAGAAATGAGTGGACAAAATATTACTGTTAGAAGCCAGAGGTCTTTTGCTTGACCGAGCGGTGTCAAAACCCTGGCTCGAATCACGCTAGAAGTTATAAGTTTACCCCATATTTCCAAAGACTTCTATACAACTTCAGTTGTAAGTTGGAAAGCCCGACGTGTCCATTCCATACATCAATTTTACAATCATCATTGCTAGACCACATTATTTACAACTTGCCAATTAACCATCAACCACACATCCGCACAGTTTGCTACAAATTGCTAAAACTAAAAGCGCATCTCCTTAATTTTATTACATTATAAAAAGGACACTCTACTGATAAATCATTACTATAGTGTTTGACGTAAGATACTTATCAGAAAAGCAGTTGTAATCATTGTTGTTGTGACTGGCTTAATTAATTTGATCAGTAGGTGAATCATCTGCGTGCGTGCATGCGTATGTATGTGCTGGATACTTTAAACCTTCATCCTAGACTGCAAATTGTACCGGTATTTTGCGTCTTACATATGCTCATAGGTACAAACGTTTCGTGGAAATTAGCCGTTTTTGTTGAATATTAAATAAATGGTTCTAAGCGATGAATCGAATGTCAATTTAGATATTACCTTTATATAAGACTAGACCTCGTTTAATATTTTTCTTTTTCTTCACTCTTTTCGAAGTCTGTGATAGTTTCATTGATCCCTTATGTCTGTATTTAGTGTCACGGCAAAATTAATTATTATGTATCAGATCACAGACATCGAGGGTGGAGGTTAAGTGCACTCAACCTTTAAGTGCACTCTACCTTCCAAACCTGTTCATTAGAGGCTCTCAGGTTTTCCTACTCCTAAATCATTTTGAATCAAACTATTTGAGGCAGTCTAAACACAAAGGAACAATTTAACGGAACAAAACACAATGTGTGTGGGTGGAAAGTTAAAACTGCTATTAGCTGAAACGTTAGTATCTAGGTCATCACGGTAAACGGTTCTGGTTAAATCAGTGACGGTGATCATTAAAAATATATTTGACAAAACGTACAGAATGGACAACTTTATCTCTCTATATACATGGTTGTCTGTGATAGCTATAGCTCCCGATTAGAGATTTCAAGCTAAAATTATGAATTCTACATGTTGCTTTGTAGATTATTTGGATTTTGGATTTTGGGTTCATATCAAGGATTTTGCTATTTGGCTTATATTTACTTTTCACAAGTTTTATGCGTTTTGTTTGTATTTGAGTATGAATGGATTCTGAAGGTACAACATTAGAAATAACATTAAGAAAGGTTCATACTTTGATGGACTTTGATTGAAGTTCGTAAAACTGTTATTAGATTGTCATGTTAAACCTCTGACTTAAGGATTTGTAATACGTCTACAGGACCAAGTGTTTTTCAAGCCGTTTAGGAAAAGACCTAGAATAGCAATGAAATTGTAGAGATTTTTATTTTCAATTAATCGTTAGATTTTAATCAAAAGATAAATTGATTGTCAGTACATATATCAAAGTTCAAAACTGAGCAATATTTGCCCTGCTTGTTGAAAATGTGTCAATAATGTAACCAGAACTGGTGTATCTGCTATCACTTTTTAATCTTTTAACACAGTGTGCTGTCGTTAGGCCAATAGTTATTGCTAGAATAGTAATCAATATAACAACAATGGCAATTAATATTCCCTTGTCCTTGAACATTTTTGTAGCATTGGACCTCTTAAATATTTATCGACATGTTTGACTAAAAGTTGTTAACATTTACTCTAACTCATTCTTGTTATATATTGTTCCTTAGTAAAATATTTTTCTTTCATTTTCTATATATTGAAGGAAATCTAGTCAAGATCTGTCCCTCGTTGGTAAAATTTCTCTAAATTACAGAATTAATAAATATATCCTCGAAATTCTTTCTTGATTACTATCCGTTTCTAAAAACATATCGGTACCTAGTTTTGGCGTTTTCCACTTACCTGTCAATTGTTTGAATTAATGTTTCACATATTTATCTTTTTATATCATTGAAGGATTTAAACAATCGTCTTTCAGCAACACTGTCACTAAATCAAACAATTTCTATTTGAAGGATTAATTACGCTATTAGGATAAATTTTTCACGTACGATGTGAAATCAAGATTCTCAATTTCTTCCAAATACAATGATTTATTTGTGGTTTAGTGTATACTCGTATTTTCCTAACTTGATCCCTTGTTTCATATATCTTCTGTATTCATTCAACCATGTATATTGACCTGCTAATGTAGAAGTTTCGGTTTACCAACTTCTACTTTAGGGCTAGGTGTACAATATAGCTGATGTTTAACAACAAAGGAATCATGACAACCTTCCGTCACTTGCAACTGTTACAATTTTAAAATCAACTTGAGATTTCTAATTGGGGTTTGGCGGCGTTAATCTAAATACGATGTCGTCATGTCTAGGACGAGATGTAAGAACTCCCAGGTAAACCTGCTAGTTCATAATATGAAGCTGAAATTAAAAAATCACAAATATTAATTTATTATTAGTAATAATGATTCGAACCAACTAATTTCAAAGGTTAATCAGATAATCATACCTGAAATTCTTGCTGGTGTCTTCAAATCATCAACGCATAAAAACCAAAGAATGTTTGTGTGTGTGTGTGTGTATATATATATATATATATATATATATATATATATATATATATATATATATATATATATATATATATATATATATAGTAGAGAGACAGACAGACAGATATATATAAGCTGGTTGTATTTATAGTTTTAGCACATGTGAAGATAGAAATGTAGAGGTTTACAAACGCAACGTTTTTGTGTTTATTTGTTTGTCGTAACTATGTTTTGTATTTGCCTTTGAAAAAGACTCATTAAGAGTCGAAAGCGCTTAGGCTAGTTAGTTACTAGTTTCGTACTGTTCGTCGTCAGTTTATTGCATCTATATATATATATATATATATATATATATATATATATATATATATATATATATATATATATATATATATATATATATATATATATATATATATATATATATATATATAAGCGGAGTTTTGGAGGAGAGCAAGTCCGTTCGTGACTAGGATAAGGTAAATTTTTCGTTACAAATCCAAATTGGGTAGTTCGTGCTTTTTAAAATAATTGTGTTTTACCAGATCCAGCTATTTCAGTTATTATCATCTTTATAGAATTTGGTTGTGATAGATGATGTTTACCTTGCTCCCACGTTCGTGTCTCTGAGAAGTCAATGACATCCATGTTGCATAAATCTAAAAAATAATATGAATTTATATTACGTTCGATACAGAGCACCCATATCCATGAGTTTAATGATGACAAGTATACAAAAATTGCATGCGTGCACTTACAGGCAAGTATTACGATGTGCTACAAGCAATAC